CCTATCTAAAAAAGTGATCACAAATAATAGCTAAAAACCCTGAAATGTCAATATTAAAGGAGTTATGACCATTTTAAAGATTGCTATTTTTCCTCTTTTAAAAAGTGATCGCAAATAATAGCTAAAAACCCCGAAATGTCAATATTAAAGGAGTTATGGCCATTTTAAAGAATGCTATATTTCCTCTTTTAAAAAGTGATCACAAATAATAGCTAAAAACCCCGAAATATCAATATTAAAGGAGTTATGACCATTTTAAAGTATGCTATTTTTCCTATCTAAAAAAGTGATCACAAATAATAGCTAAAAACCCCGAAATGTCAATATTAAAGGAGTTATGGCCATTTTAAAGATTGATATTTTTCCTCTTTTGAAAAGTGATCATAAATAATAGCTAAAAAGCCCGAAATGTCAATATTAAAGGAGTTATGGCCATTTTAAAGAATGCTATTTTTCCTATCTAAAAAAGTGATCACAAATAATAGCTAAAAACCCTGAAATGTCAATATTAAAGGAGTTATGACCATTTTAAAGATTGCTATTTTTCCTCTTTTAAAAAGTGATCGCAAATAATAGCTAAAAACCCTGAAATGTCAATATTAAAGGAGTTATGACCATTTTAAAGATTGCTATTTTTCCTCTTTTAAAAAGTGATCGCAAATAATAGCTAAAAACCCCGAAATGTCAATATTAAAGGAGTTATGGCCATTTTAAAGTATGCTATTTTTCCTCTTTTAAAAAGTGATCACAAATAATAGCTAAAAACCCCGAAATGTCAATATTAAAGGAGTTATGGCCATTTTAAAGAATGCTATTTTTCCTCTTTTAAAAAGTGATCACAAATAATAGCTAAAAACCCCGAAATGTCAATATTAAAGGAGTTATGGCCATTTTAAAGTATGCTATTTTTCCTATCTAAAAAAGTGATCACAAATAATAGCTAAAAACCCCGAAATGTCAATATTAAAGGAGTTATGGCCATTTTAAAGAATGCTATTTTTCCTATCTAAAAAAGTGATCACAAATAATAGCTAAAAACCCTGAAATGTCAATATTAAAGGAGTTATGACCATTTTAAAGATTGCTATTTTTCCTATTTAAAAAAGTGATCACAAATAATAGCTAAAAACCCCGAAATGTCAATATTAAAGGAGTTATGACCATTTTAAAGATTGCTATTTTTCCTCTTTTAAAAAGTGATCGCAAATGATAGCTAAAAACCCCGAAATGTCAATATTAAAGGAGTTATGGCCATTTTAAAGAATGCTATTTTTCCTCTTTTAAAAAGTGATCACAAATAATAGCTAAAAACCCCGAAATATCAATATTAAAGGAGTTATGGCCATTTTAAAGTATGCTATTTTTCCTATTTAAAAAAGTGATCACAAATAATGGCTAAAAACCCCGAAATGTCAATATTAAAGGAGTTATGGCCATTTTAAAGATTGCTATTTTTCCTCTTTTGAAAAGTGATCATAAATAATAGCTAAAAAGCCCGAAATGTCAATATTAAAGGAGTTATGGCCATTTTAAACAATGCTATTTTTCCTATCTAAAAAAGTGATCACCAATAATAGCTAAAAACCCTGAAATGTCAATATTAAAGGAGTTATGACCATTTTAAGGATTGCTATTTTTCCTCTTTTAAAAAGTGATCGCAAATAATAGCTAAAAACCCCGAAATGTCAATATTAAAGGAGTTATGGCCATTTTAAAGTATGCTATTTTTCCTCTTTTAAAAAGTGATCACAAATAATAGCTAAAAACCCCGAAATGTCAATATTAAAGGAGTTATGGCCATTTTAAAGAATGCTATTTTTCCTCTTTTAAAAAGTGATCTCAAATAATAGCTAAAAACCCCGAAATGTCACTATTAAAGGAGTTATGGCCATTTTAAAGGTTGCTATTTTTCCTCAAATAATACCTAAAAAGCCCGAAATGTCAATATTAAAGGAGTTATGGCCATTTTAAAGTATGCTATTTTTCCTATCCAAAAAAGTGATCACAAATAATAGCTAAAAACCCCGAAATGTCAATATTAAAGGAGTTATGGCCATTTTAAAGTATGCTATTTTTCCTATCTAAAAAAGTGATCACAAATAATAGCTAAAAACCCTGAAATGTCAATATTAAAGGAGTTATGACCATTTTAAAGATTGCTATTTTTCCTCTTTTAAAAAGTGATCGCAAATAATAGCTAAAAACCCCGAAATGTCAATATTAAAGGAGTTATGGCCATTTTAAAGTATGCTATTTTTATACCCTACACCACAAGGTGGTCAGGGTATTATGTCTTTGTGCATTTGTTTGTAACAGGCAAAAGGAAACGAGATAGACCCATAGTTCCTTTTGATGATCTGCATAGATTCACATTCTGAGTCGATTTATGAATGTCCGTCCGTCCGTCTGTCCGTCCGTCCGTCCGTCCGTCCGTCCGTCCGTCCGTCCGTCTGTCCGTCTGTCCATGCATTTTTGTAAACAAAGTACAGGTCGCATTTATTGCCCGATCCAGATGAAATTTTGCACAGATCATTTGTTTGGCCCAAGGACGAACCCTATTGAAATTGGAGATAATCGGTCAAAATTTAGATATAGCTCCCATATATATCTTCGTCCGATTTGCTTTTATTGTGCACCAAGCGTGTAATATCAGCCCGAATAGTATGGAATTTTGCACATACAACCAAATTAGGCCTGAAAATATGTATGCCAAATTTGATCGAAATCGGTTCAGATATAGCTATAGCTCCCATATATATTGTTCATCCGATTTGTTATTTTTGTCCACCGCCGCCGTAATATGCACTCTGCAAGAACAATATTTGGGGAAATATATCAAATACAGCTCAGAAATACATTTGCTTAATTTTATCGAGATCGGTTCAGATTTGGATACAGCTCCCATATATAACTTCGTCCGATTTACCTTTTATTGTGCACCAAACATCTAATATTTGTCCAAATGGGATGGAATTTGGCACATACGACCGAATTGAGTCTAGAAGCTAGTATGTCAAATTTGGTGAAGATCGGTTCAGATATAGCTATAGCTCCCATATATATTATTCATCCGATTTGTTATATTTGTTTCCCACAACCGTAATATACACTCCGTAACAACGATACTCAGGGAAATATATCAAATACAGCTTAGAAATATCTTTGCCAAATTTTATCGAGATCGGTTCAGATGTGGATATAGCTCCCATATATATATATATATATATATATATATATATATATATATATATATATATATATATATATATATATATATATATATATATATATATATATATATATATATATTTATCCGATTTCAAATTAATTGTGCACCAAATGGTCAATACAAGTCCGAATTTAAAAGATACAAATTCTTCGGCATGTTTAGTCCTTTGAACTTTAAATTATAATTATAATTATAATCATAGCGTTTATGATTGAATTCTCCCATAAAAACTTTTAATTGTTATGTGGAGCTCTACTAAATTAGCAAAGTGGTGTAGGGTATCATAAAGTCGGCCCCGCCCGACTTTAAGACTTTCTTTACTGGTTTCTATCTAAAAAAGTGATCAAAAATAATAGCTAAAAACCCCGAAATGTCAATATTAAAGGAGTTATGGCCATTTTAAAGATTGATATTTTTCCTATTTTAAAAAGTGATCACAAATAATAGCTAAAAACCCCGAAATGTCAATATTAAAGGAGTTATGGCCATTTTAAAGAATGCTATTTTTCCTCTTTTAAAAAGTGATCACAAATAATAGGTAAAAACCCCGAAATATCAATATTAAAGGAGTTATGGCCATTTTAAAGTATGCTATTTTTCCTATCTAAAAAAGTGATCACAAATAATAGCTAAAAACCCCGAAATGTCAATATTAAAGGAGTTATGGCCATTTTTAAGATTGCTATTTTTCCTCTTTTGAAAAGTGATCACAAATAATAGCTAAAAAGCCCGAAATGTCAATATTAAAGGAGTTATGGCCATTTTAAAGTATGCTATTTTTCCTATCTAAAAAAGTGATCACAAATAATAGCTAAAAACCCCGAAATGTCAATATTAAAGGAGTTATGGCCATTTTAAAGAATGCTATTTTTCCTCTTTTAAAAAGTGATCACAAATAATAGCTAAAAACCCCGAAATGTCAATATTAAAGGAGTTATGGCCATTTTAAAGAATGCTATTTTTCCTCTAAGGGTTCCTTTACCGTTTTTTTTTTTGTGCTGAACCCTTGTTACAATTGGCGAATGAAACTGTCGAAAACACTATCAGAAAAGTTCTGACTTGTTAACTTTATTTTTGACGATTTTTTCTTTCTTTAAATAAAAAAAAACTTTAATTTCAGCTGAAATATGCCTAGCGTTCGAAGGTCTTATTTTTTCATTATCCTGCTAACCCTTATTTCTACAAAAAATTTTTTTTAAACAAAGTGCTTATTAATTCACTTAAAATGTTAGAAAACTTGACTAATATTTTAAATGAGAAATTCATAACAACTTTGATTTCAATACCAATAGTTGAAATGCCAGAAAAAGCAAAAGATTTCACTAGATGTACATCCATTACATCCATTACACAACAAAATCGAGAATGTAAGAACCATATATTCAACTGCATTCCTTTAAATACACCCGCACATACTGGCATTGGCATTCCAAGAATTCTATTACAACACTATAAAGATTTGTCTAATGCAATTATAACGTCCCCCACACGCACACATACTCGTACATGTACATTACTTCCATCAACTCTATTCAGATTTAATCAAACAGTAAATCCATAAAAATGCAAAAAACTTACTCGAGCCATTAGGCAGATACAAATATACTAACATTCATGTAGGGAAAAAGAATGGAAGTTTTTTATTACTTTTTTTTCTCCTTTCATTTTTGTAATCAGAAATGTTTATGGCTGCAGTTTTGCAAAATCTTTATGAAATTGAATTACACACACGAATCCCATTTTGTAATGATTACTTTTCATTCTATTTCAGATAAAGGCTTTCTACGGCGGACTTGTTGTGCGACGAATGTCTAAACAAACATTAAACCGGAAAAGTGCAGTGAGTGCAAAATAAAATCAATAAAAATCGAATAATCGAAGTGTGGCGACGCATCAGCGTCGAGAGAGGGAAATGTGCGCGACAAAACACTCTCTAGCCCCATGCAGCCAGCCCACTTAAATATCGACAATAACAAACAATAACAACAAGGATATTAAGGAATTATTGATGTTTTTACATTCGCAGAATAGAACGCCATCACAGCACAGCCACCGAGGTCGTCACGCACAGCCAACTTTTCAGCAGAGACAAATTTAATATTGAAAATGGTAAGTACCATTTAAGTGATGACGACAACGACGGCGACAGTGAAGACAATAACTGACAACACTTAAATTTGGAGAAAATTGCATTTTGAATGGATGTAGTGAACATCGGCTGTAGCTGTGGGCGAACTCGCCGAAACACTGAAGTCGCGTTTTTCATATTATCATTTTCCAAGTTTGGTTTTTGTTGTTCGATTATTTGAATACTTGAAACACACTTCGGTGTTAAATATTTACACGGACTTCTACTACTACCGTGAAACAAATAAAAGCCATTAGATTATCCATTGTTTGACAAAGGCCATTAGAAAATTCATTAGCCAAATGTTATTTCGAACTCTAGTTTCAGACTTTTTCCACTCCCGCACAGAATGTCATGTACAGGACCCCAGCCAACAAATAAATAATAATAAAAAACACAGATAAATGATCCATTAGTAACAGCTGTCATGGATGTCATTGTAGGGTCAAGTTTTGAAATGTCATTTACCGAATCTAGTTAAAAGTAGATTATGTTATAAACCAAAGTTTTTGGCATTATTTTGTTTTTTCTTTTTTATGTCAACCGAATTTGAGTGATGCACGTGTCTATCGCAAATTAAAATATCATTGCAATTATCAAAAAAAAAAAAAAAAAAAAAAAAAACAAAAGAAAAAATTGTTGAAAAGTTGGCATGGCAAAGTACGTTCTAATTGAAACGTAGAAAGTTGGTCGGAAAAATGAGAAAAATGAGGTTTGTGGGAGGGAAGTGGGTTAAACGAGTACATTTTTCGCACGTCCCTTTCTCTCAAAAACTGTTTTACCCCTTGCCCTTGAGGAAAATTTTTCGGCGTGGGATTATACTCGTAGATTAAATAAAGTTTAATTTGTTACAAAGCAATTAAGCAAAGGCTAGTCGTGCCAGACAAGGACAAGCGAACTTCTGAAAACATTGTGATACATACTTAAACGACATTAAACATCATTGCAATTATCAAGGTACGTTCTCCATTTTTCGTTTGATGCATTATATTAGGATACCGCCTGTGGTGGAGATCCAAAACCTAACCAACAGGGCGCGAAATTCTAAAAAATTTAAAATATTGGAAATATGCTATTTGGTACCGGCCATCAGATATTGCTCGAAAATACCTCTGCCAAATTTTATTGAGATCAGTTCAGATTTTTATATAGCTTCGATATATATCTTCATCTGATTGTACGATGCTCATACTCATGTCAGACCTAACAAAGTTATTACATTATTGATCAGCGTAAAATTCTAAGTCTATTTAATGATCTCCGTCCCTCTGTGTGTCCACGTTTTTGTATAGCCCCCCATATTACGGTTTATCCCAATATTCGGTATTTTGACGATTTTTTAAATTTCGTATTTAAAGTTCAAAATTGGTACTACAGCCTATGACAAGAAATTACTTATGCAGGTTCTCGTCTCGTCTTCGCATAGCCTCCAGGTTTCTCGTATTCGTATAGCCCCCATATAACGGTTGTCATCTAAACGGAAGAAATTTTAAAAGAAAAATGGTACCTATACAGTCAGCTTTATACTGTAAGGATCGTAATCTATTGCGAGTCTGACAAATTTGAAAAAATTTCGGATACTCAAATTAGGATACTCAAAATATCGAATATCAGTGAGTACTGTTATATGTGCGCTATAGGAAAACATGAACCAAGATATTCAATGTTCTGCCACCCACCCATTTGACATACAAACAACAATTTCTGGACAAATCCGTGGAAAAATGTTGCAAAAGTCATCAAAATACCGAATATGGGAAGGTACTGTTATATGGGGGGTTATACGAAAAAATGACCTACCTACAATGTTCCACCACGGGAGCTAAAATCCATTAAGAACTACAAATACCAATTTTTAGACAAATCCGTGGGAACTTGTGGCAAAAGTCATCAAAATACGGAATATCGGGAGGTAACGTTATATGGGGGCTATACGAAGATGTGTTGGAAGAAGCTGCATTAGGGTAGACATATTAAACACTTGGGCTTTTAAAGAAATTACATTACGAATTTCAAATACCAAATTTCAAACAATTCCTGTGAATAATTTAGGGAGGTGTCGTTATATGGGGCTGTACGAAGACGTGTATCTGCACTGACAATTTTCTGTCATAGGCTGTAGTATCCATTACGAACTGCTAATGCCAAATTTTAAACAATTCAGATAAATAATATTGCTAAAATCATCAAAGTGTCGAATTCGGGAGGAACCGTTATTTGAGGACTACACGAAGACGTGTATCTGCACTTACAATTTTCTGTCATAGGCTGTAGTATCCATTACAAACTTCAAATACCAAATTTGAAACATTTCCGGTGAATAATGTCGCTTAAATTACCATTTTCAACATCAAAAGTCCTGCATACATAATATACATTTGAGTAAAATTGTATTAACCTACTTAATTCCGTTCGGAAGCTAGAGTGATTTCCACATATTTGTTACAGTTGGAAAGTTACTTAAAATTACTTTTTGTTTTCCATTTCTGTTTTAGTGCTGGCTATCCTATAAAAACCCCCTTTGAAACTTCGTCAAGATAATGACAAATGCAATCACTCATGCAAATGCAAAAATGCAATTAAAATCCATGGCAGAGAGCACAGTTGAGATTGTGATTTGTTTCAAATGAAGTAGAAATCCAAGTGAACATAATTTGTAAATTCATTTCTGGGGAATTTTTGCAAAGCTTATTTTGTTCAAGGAATAAATGAATAAAATATGGACTACATAGAATTAATGGGACTGAGAGTTATTCTGCGTATCACTATCCTAACGCAGAGAAATTAGTTTCGTAATGAAATTTAGAGGGCATGTGTTGAATTGACATGTCAACAGTTACCATTGAAATTTGACTTATTTGGAAGTTTGGCACATTTTTTACATAACATAATTGAGAAATTTTAGCAATTTTGTGGAGAATGTTGGTACCAGAAAATATTTTCTGGTTTTTGTAGACAAATAAAACCATTGTTGTCCAATCTGCATTCGCTTGGACATAATAAACAGTTGGAATCTTAAAGAAATCACTCGAAATTTTTAAATTTCGATAAGTATGTTTTTATAAGTAAGTAGCAAGTGCCCTCTACTTCGTTAGCGAAAATTTTCGATTCGTTTCGACAGCTCGTGTTAGGCCTTTTAAATATTCAAACTGCTCAATTTGTTCAGTTTGACAACATTTTCTAATCAAAACTTCATACATCGTATAAAAGTTTTATATTTTATTAAAGTGTTTTCTTTTTCGGAAAGACTAATAGAAAAATGTTTACTTCTACGAAGTTTGCCGAGGAGGATGTTAGTAAAACTATTGTACAATGCATACACGTCCAATTTTTCTGTCCAAAACTATTTTAATGTCTCTATATGTTAATCATAGACACCAAAAGTGACCTCAATGCCAAAGTGTGCATCAAATATCTAGTAAATTTTAGTACACATACCCAAAACAACACCTCCACATCACAATTCCCTCCTCAATCAAATTTGAGAATTCCAGTCCTATTCCTTCACCCTATACCAAATTTAGTATTATTTAACACTTTACGTACAACTACAGAAGTAAAAGTTTTCAAAACCCAATACCAGTACAAAATGTTGTCCCCATTAGTACTTTTCGTACAATTGTAGAACACATATCCGAAACTGGCTTTTCATGTCCAGGCTACACATGAACATCAACCTTGATATAATTTGAGTTTTCCAGCACTGTATGTTCACCCAACACCAAATTGTACAAAATATAGTACTCTTTTGTACTTTTCGTGCAGTTGTAGTACACATTTCCCAAACAACATCTTTATTACAAATCTACCACAAATAGAGACCCAAAGAAAATATTTCGAAATTTCATCCGTACACCCTAAACAAAACTGTTCTAAATTTAGTACTATTTAGTACAGTTCGTACACATTTCCAAAACCTTCATGTATCAAACATACTTTCCAACGTTGATTCTCAAACCAAATTTCACATAATAAAAATGGTACCAAATATATATATATAAGTACTTTTCGTAGACTTATAGTTCGAATTTCCGAAACCCGTTTGGTACATCTATCATACACTCCATCAGTGACCCTCATTTCAAATTTAAGAGTTCTAGTTTTCTGCTTCGCCAAATAAAAGGGCTACCATACTTGGTACCGTTTAATGTTTTTCGTACTGTTCTAGCACGAATTTTCAAAAACCCATCTTTCTGACACCTTCGGACCTAGAGTGACTTTCACCCAAAATTCCAAAATATCTTGGGGGCCTTGATGAATAGTCAGTCAATTACTTTTTGACTTTCACCCACTAAATATTATCCGAAGTCCTTTTAAAATTGTATTCTTCAGCACCGTTCCAAGATCTAACCACATGTTAAATTATGTGTCGTAAGTTTTATAAATATAACCTGTATAGCGAGTGTTAAAATCAAGAAAATTTTCTGATTTTGGTCCATTTTATCCCCTAATATACCTCCATATAGGCTGATTCTAACTCTAACTGCATGCAAAATTTCGTGAACATAGATAATAATAACGACCTGTAGAGTAATATCAAATTAATAGGGACAGACGGACGTATGGTCACACATAACTACATCGATTCAGCTTGGCGAGATAGGCAGATCCATCGTTGGTTTGAGACCAACTTTTCCAACTTTTAATACAGAGTGAGATAAAAAAAAAAACTGCAACAAAGTCAAACGCCATAATTTTTACATTTTTTTTTAAATTTATTGAATAAAAGCAAAAAATGTCGGAAATAGCATCAAATTTTAGAATAGGTTTAGATTTGTTCGAATTGGTCACCTTTGTCACGAATTATGGCCTTCAAACGGCCAATGAAACCGTCACATGCTGCCCGAATATAGCTCTGCGGTATTTTGGCCCCTTCCCAGCGAAGCGCTTGCTGTAGTGCCAACCTTGCTTTCCAGAATATATTCGCGATAATATTAGGTCTATTAATACGAGCGGAGAGCGACCATCGGCTGTTATTGCG